TAGCACCAGTTCTTTCATTTTCCACCATTTAAATTGTCTTTAGCTCTGGTGCTTGAAACTGATGCTTAAAATGGGTCCATATGATTTGTTGGGCCAGACTCTGGCACCAATTGCGTCAAGGGGGGCAGTGGGCGGAGTTATCATGACGATCGCAGATGTAGAGGAATGACTCCCAGGACACACGGAGGTTTTGCACAAACTGGTGAGCGGTGAACTCCGGCACAATTGTGTCCCACCAGAAGAGCGATCGCCAACGTGCTCAGATAGCAGGCGATCACTGACTCGCAGCCAGCCTCGTGATCATTTACACTGATTAAGATATTAGCGTTTGCTGATTGCAACCCTGACTGTTATATGCTACGTACAAGTATCATCGATGCTATGCTAAATCGGCTAGCACATGATTACAGCGCATTGTTATTATTATTATTATTAGCGCAGGCGCTCTTGGGTAAACGCTTTATGATGACGTAGCTCCTACTTGGCTCTTTGCCGTTGGAAAACCAAACACGCTCTTCGTAAGAACTTGTTAAGCATCAACTAAGCACAGCATTATCCCTGGCACCGAACGAGCACCATTTTGGGGGAGGTGGGGGGTGGAAAAGGGGTATTTGTCGCGAAAATGTGGTTTCTCACCCGCTGACTGGCTAGGTTTGTTTAGGGTTTACAACTAAATGGCTGAGTCGGCTCTTTACAAGCTAACCAGCTGAGTTACCAAAATCTGTTTCGTTACCCGGCCGGCTTAATCTATCAAATGTTATGTTTGTGTTTCAGTCTTGCAAGTACTCCAGTGTGGACAGAACAAAGGTGGAGGACAGCGGTGTGAGCCGTGAGGACAAGGAGCACGACTACAGCAGCATCGCCGAGCTCAAAGGTCTGATCTCGGCCGGATCCTCCGGGGATCTTTACGCCAGCGTGAAGGATGTCTACGCCCAGCCGATGGGGGACACCACCCAGGATGGCGCCGACCCTGGCTACGAAAGCATCTGCATCCCAAAGAACGGCAGCGGCTCAGACGAGGCGCGCAGGGATTGCCACGGGGCGGATGGCTCGGAACCAGACTACGAGAGCGTCGGGGAGTTGGGTCTGGGTCGGGAAATGTCTCGTCTTTGAGCGACTGGTCATCATCATTATCATCTTGTCGGTTCGTCGGCATGTTATGGTACACCTGTCATTGGTACTAATAGCCGCCCGGTCGTAGCAAATACCTCGCAATGACATATCAATCCACACATGCTGCATTTCAAAGGTGACGCGTGAAGAATCTCGAAGGATTTCAAAAGTTCCCAAGGCCGGTGTGGATTTCCAGAGGACTTGGGCAAAGGTTGGCACGCCATTCGGATAAGAACACAAACCTGTGCCCAGGCATTTGTTACTTTCATATCAAGAGCATCTGCATTCATGCATCCAAGATTCAAAGTCTTGAGTAGTGTCCCAAATTCGGGGCGGCACCCTTCGCACCTCCTACCTTTGGGGTCCCGCCCTATGCGCCAACCTTTAAATCCACAAAAGGGGCAGTACCCTTCAAGAACACATCTCAGCTGTCAACCTTTGAGAACGCACCCCTGAAGTTTGAGTTGGAATTTCGAGCAGCACACTTTGCAGAGCCCCCCGCCAAAGACCCATCCTTGAAGGCAGCCTTTGGAGATCCATCCTTAAATTTGAGTTGTCTCGTTTCAGGGGAAGCACCCCTGAAGACCCCACTGTAGGTGCCTATCTTTGAGGAGACACCTTTAAATGTAAGTTCTATCCCAATTCAGGGGTGGTCGCCTTCAAGGATCCACCATGCGTGTCAACATCCAAGGACCCACCCAACTAGCCCCCGCCTTCACGAATCCACCCCTAAATTTGAGTTCCTTGACGCTTCTAGGGTAGCACCCTTCAAGGACGCACCCTTCCCACCAATGTGGACCTAAATGAAAATCAGAGTTGCAATTCAAGGGTGGCACTCTTTAAGAACTGAGCCTGTACACCAACCTTTGAAGGCCCACCCTAAAATCTGCCTTGAGATCGAGGGTGGCATTCTTCGAGGACTCACCCTACAGACCAACCTCTGCGGACTTTATCCCTGAATTTGGGTTCCATCCCAATTCTTCAATGATTTACCCCAAAACTTTTGTTTTGTCACAATGCTGGGGTGTCCTTCCAGAACTCACTCTACACAGTAATCTACAAGGACCCCATCCTTCATACCAACAATTAAATTTGAGTTGCAGTTCAGGGGTGGCATCACTTTGAGAACACCCCCTACCTGCCAACCCTTTTGAGAGCTCACTCATTTGTGCCACCACTCCATAAAAGTAACTGTCTCGCCTTTCTAGAGATTTCCTAGACGTCCCCGCCTGGGTCATGATGCTAGGTGGCCACTTGCTAGCGCTGTAGTTTAGGTCCCAGACAATGGGGACAACTCTTCAGTAGCGTAATAGTTGCCTTTCCCTAGTTTTTCCCGACGGTCCCACATGGGCCTATTCCTATGGATTTGCTTATTTATTTACAACAACGTGCCAATGTGAACGTGTGCCTGCCTGCCAGAAGGAAATTCCCTTTGGATTTTTTTTTTCCATGGTTTCTTGCGCTTTTCTAGATGGGGGAACATTTGGTACATGTGACCTTAACTTTTTAATGACTTCATCTTAAATTCAGACATTAATTCTTATCGGTTATCGACACAGACGATTTGTACGGGATTTTGCGGTACATGATATCGTCTTCACTTCCTTGATGGCATCGAAGCACAAGGTCTGCAATCGCGGTACGGTATTTTATTTTCTTTTTTGTTTGTTTCCTCTGCACAATTTCAATATGTTATCGCTTAAGTGTATAGTAGCACAACATAACTTACTACAAAGCACTATGTTAACCCAGCTTTACCCATGGGAATATCTTGCGTTTGCGTCTATTTGTCCTTTTTTTTTTAGTTGTTGTTGTTATTATTAGAAGAGCACTGATGTATGTGTGCAAACGGCATCGTCCGCTGGCTAGTCACTAGGCTATGAGCTAGTAGACAATCAGATGTCTGGAAAATTGGTACATTGTGGTGGTACATTTTGTATTTGTGGTACGTTTATTTAAAAAATAATTCTACTTTTACATGTGCTTTGTTGTGGCAATGACGTTTTGTGTAAGTATCACGCAACCCCTGAATGTGTTTTTTGCAGTCTAGTATTAGACTTGTGGCTATTCAAGTAAAATAAAAACACATGCAGCCTAACTGGGCTGCTGTCATATTCATTCAAAAGTAGCCTAGAACTCCCCACGTTTTGTTTTTAGCAGCACATTTTGCCATAAGGTTCTTGGTCAAATTATAGAGTGTGAAGAATTCCAAAGTGCGGATTCTAGTTTGTTCAACTGTAGATCTCGCAAAACCCTGGCAGATCGAGCTTGGAAGTTTTCTACAACTTATTTTCCCCAAAATATTTGGTCAAATTTGGGGTCAAATTCACAAGGGTAAAAAAAATTGTGAATGTTGAAGTGCTATTTTCAAAGGGTGCCAGGTCACCCTTTGGAAATAGCACTTTTGCGGTTTTGCTTTTGTGATCCTGAGTGACATGACTCCATTTTGGTGTCGCCATCGCACACATCAAAACACACACACGAAGCCATAAAGACGCCTGGGGAAAATGATGTGCCACATTGAGATGTTTTAGTGCCATGTGGATGGATGCACAACCTAAAAATCTCTTATTCAATTCATCTGATATAGAATCACACAGACACACCATAAAACAATTGAACCCCCCCCCC